GGACCATTAGGGGATTACATACACAGAAACACACCTTGCACTCCTTACACACACAGAAACATACAATGCATTCCTTACACGCAAACACACACTACATCCCCTATAAACACACTACATCCCTTATAAACACACTACATCCCTTATACAAATTGGTATCCCTATACACTACATTCTATACGAACACACACACATTGCATCCTCTACAATAACACATAAAACATCCCTTACACACATACACTCCACTTCCTGTGAGAGAACTCATGGGTGGGCCATGTAGGTATTTATGGGTGGGCATTGTAGGCATACTCATGGTCAAGCCCTGGGGGCCTAGACCTTGAGCTGTGTAAGGGGCCCTAAAAAATAGAGCTGCTTCCTGTTTGTTAATTGTTGTGAGCACTGTTACAAACAGTCTCCAGAGAGCCTCTTCTACACCAGACCTGTGGAGCCAGACTGAGCCCATCATCAGCCTCTTGTCCTCATCTGGTGGTAAGTAGGCAATCCAATATATTATTAGTGGCACTAATCTCTAATTTACCTCACATTAAATGGATACTATAGTCACCAGAAGCACTGCAGCATAATGTAGTGGTTCTGGTGTCTATAGCCTGTGCCTGTAGGCTTTTTAATGTAAACACACTGTCTTTTCAGATAAAAGACACTTTGTGAAGACTGGCGTTGGCCCATATGGGCGGGGCATTGTGATGTTACATGGTGGGCAGGACATGGGGGGGGTGACAAATTTTTATTTGCCTAGGGCGGCAAAAATCCTTGCCCTGGCTGTGGGGGAGATAGCGGTGTCCCAGTCCCGGCCCCGGAGGGATGGGCTGTGGGGGAGATAGCGGTGTCCCGGCCCCGGAGGGATGGGCTGTGGGGGAGATAGCGGTGTCCCGGCCCCGGAGGGTTGGGCTGTGGGGGAGATAGCGGTGTCCGGCCCTGGAGGGTTGGGCTGTGGGGGAGATAGCGGTGTCCCGGCCCCGGAGGGATGGGCTGTGGGAGAGATAGCGGTGTCCCAGTCCCGGCCCCGGAGGGTTGGACTGTGGGGGAGATAGC